CTGATCTGAGCAAAAGAGAGACTTCTGGAATCAATTAGAAATGTCTGCCCTTGATGAGATTTGCACGTGAGTTTGGAATTGTGAGGCTTTGATAGTGTCAGCCAACAGCTGCAGTTTCAGGTGGTAAAATCAAGAGAAGAATTTTTACAGGGCTTAATTACAATCAGTATATATTTATAACTAGTTGAGGGACACTAGAAAAAAGTGAAGTTCAAAACTGTCAAGCATATTGTTGAAGATGAGACTTCATTACTTCCATCACAGGAAAGTAAACAAAATGTTTGTTGGAAACTTGTGGTTGTGAGACTGTGTTGTGGCTGCAAGAAACTGGAAATGGCATTTTCTGTAGTTCTTGCTGCAAAAGAAACATCTGGCAGTATTTATGTCATTCCTATTTGACAAGTTGAGGCAATAATAAGCGGTGATACACATTTGTGTACAAGTGTAAAGTACAGTCTTTCTTAGATAAATATAATACAGTAATCCGAAAGTAACCCTTTCCCATCCAAGGATCTATGTATTAAATGTATATATTTTAAACATGTTATATTTACAGGGTTGTATCCAACGCTGTCCATGAACTCCTCCTGCAGAACCCTTCATGCCCTCAAAATCTGCTCTGGAGGGTAGGGAACCTGCTGGAGCAGATTTTTCAGGATGTGTTGGGGGCTGCAGGGGGAAGGACCAGAAAGGTGAAGTTCTGTTGCTTGGGTGGAAGTCCACTTGTGCAATGTTGAATTTAGCCCACAGTAAATAACAATTCATGGAAACTGTTACTGTTGATCATCTTGATTATATTAATAATAATAATAATAATAATAATAATAATAATAATAATAATTTATTATTTGTACCCCGCCCATCTGGCTGGGTTTCCCCAGCCACTCTGGGCGGCTTCCATAGAAACCAAAAATACAGTAAAATATCACAGATTAAAAACTTCCCTGAACAGGGCTGCCTTAAGATGTCTTCTAAATGTCAGGTAGTTATTTATCGCTTTGACATCTGATGGGAGGGCGTTCCACAGGGCGGGCGCCACTACCGAGAAGGCCCTCTGCCTGGTTCCCTGTAGCTTTGCTTTTCGCAATGAGGGAACCGCCAGAAGGCCCTCGGCGCTGGACCTCAGTGTCCGGGCAGAACGATGGGGGTGGAGACGCTCCTTCAGGTATACTGGGCCGAGGCTGTTTAGGGCTTTAAAGGTCAACACCAACACTTTGAATTGTGCTCGGAAATGTACTGGGAGCCAATGTAGGTCTTTCAAGACCTTGTGGTCTTGGCGGCCGCCCCCAGTCACCAGTCTAGCTGCCGCATTCTGGATTAGTTGTAGTTTCCGAGTCACCTTCAAAGGTAGCCCCACGTAGAGCGCATTGCAGTAGTCCAAGCGGGAGATAACTAGAGCATGCACCACTCTGGCGAGACAGTCCGCGGGCAGGTAGGGTCTCAGCCTGCGTACCAGGTGGAGTTGGTAGACAGCTGCCCTGGATACAGAATTTACCTTTGTCTTCTATTGTGCTTGCATTTACTAAAATAAAAAGGAAATTATAATTATATATGTATTTTGGAATACATTTTTAAATCTATTTAAAATATGCAATCTTGACTTTGCTCAAGTGGTGCTTTCATGTCCTGAAAAATTGACACCCATGCTTCACGTAACTTTTTTAACTAGTAGTAAAAATTCTGCAAGTGTGATCTGATTGTCAGGCCACAACTGCATTTATTAAGCAAGAGCTTATATATTTGCCCTGGTGGTCACCTTCTATCTTAAATAGAATGGAACTAAAAGTCTATATAATTGTTTTAACGTCTATCCTACTTACCAGCTGAAAACCATTTTTTAAAAATAAAGTAAAATAAAAATAAAAATCACTGAAGCAAGCTAGTTAAGTTTCATCGAATGTCTATCTGAACAACTAGAAAAGTATGGTGCTCATTCAAGAAGGCTAGGAGGGATGGTTTTTGTTGTGGGGGTCACTACAGAAAAGACAATGCTTCTCAACTGCATTGGCCATGCCTGCTCTGGTGACAATAATGCAGGGGGTCAAAAATACATGACAGAGATCACAAGAGAATTTGTGATCCTAAAGGTATTTCCTTTGGTGTCTCAGTGAATATACTGTTCCAACTTTCTGTTTGCCCTCAACTATGTGTATCAGTGGGGCTGGGCTGAATGTTCCATCACATATTCCTATTAGCATCCTATCATTCTTACTTACACTTATGCCCTGGAAAAAGATGTTCTGTAGGTCCAATTCCAGATTGTCTGATATGGTAGAGTAACAGGTTATTTTCCCTCATCAGCTTCATATGGTGATTATTATGGGTGCTACTCCGTGTGATGACAGGTAGAATCTATCATTTCAGTCCCCTTGTCGGTTATCATGATGTAGAAAGTACCACCTATCACCACATAGGGATGCTTGGCTGAGAATATTCACACTTGCCTTGTGATGGCTTTACCCCATCAAATGTGAGCTGGACCATAGAGGGTAGTTCTGGATCATAGAGGGTGGTGAAACAAACCTTAATCAGATCTCATGTGCTCATTACGATATGAGGTTTGTAATATTAAAATGTAAAATATAATTGCTGAAGCAGTGGGAACCTGAATAATAATTTTCGCTTTAGTTTCATGATACCTACTTTTTTCCTCTTCTCTGCTTTAGAATGCTTTCCTGGAATATTGGTTCTAAGCTGTTTTTCTTTTAATTCTGGTTCCTTAAACTTTTTTTATTTATTTAAAAATGATTATTTTACTAGCACTACTAAGTAGTTTTAATTTAGCATTCTAATAGTTTTGAGACCTCCAGACCATTTAATCTAAACAGAAAAATTTATTGCATCCCTCCTTTAAGTTGATCCCAAAGTATAAATTGTGGCATGCCTTCTTTATTTATGCAGACCCCATGAAATAGATAACTTATGCCTGTTCATCCTATTACTTCTCCACTAAAAGATTCATCATTTGTGAGGCTTTCAAGAGCTATTAATAGCCTCCAGTGTGTGCTATTACTGCCATCAAGTGTAATTATATCATTTTGCACATATAACTTTTCACATACTGTAATTTCCCAGGTATGACATCTCCCTTACGATTTCATCTTATGTGTGGTATTCAACTCATACTATTAAAACAATCCAGACTTTTTGCTCTGCAGTATGTGGGAGGGTGTACAGATGTATTGGATAGGAAAAATAGAGCTTGTATTTTAAAATAGGGAAATCTGGTTACTTTAATTTTGTTTCTCCCCAGCGAAAACATCCCACCTTAGTAATGAAGAACACAAAATTGTCAGGGAAAAAACCTCCTGAAAAACTAAAATTATTATCCAAAGACATTTTTCATCACTGTTAAGTCAGGCATGGAAAGAGCATAAGAGTAGAAATGGACAACAAGGTAAATCATAATAAAGGAAACCAAGTTTATCTTACTAACCAATCCCTTTAAAAATGCCTATTTTGTTTGCAACTTAGTTCTCTTAAAAAATCACAAATTCTCACTGCTTGCTAAAGCGAAAGCCTAAGGCTGAGGCTTTCACCACAAGAAGGAGTTGCTTTGAAACTTAAATATAAGACAAGCCTACTGAATCATAAAAGGTAAAGGGACCCCTGACCATTAGGTCCAGTCATGACCGACTCTGGGGTTGCTGCACTCATCTTGCTTTATTGGCCGAGGGAGCTGGCGTACTGCTTCTGGGTCATGTGGCCAGAATGACTAAGCCGCTTCTGGCGAACCAGTGCATGGAAACGCTGTTTACCTTTCCGCCAGAGCGGTACCTATTTATCTACTTGCACTTTGACGTGCTTTCAAACTGCTAGGTTGGCAGGAGCGACTGGGCAACAGGAGTTCACCCCGTTGCCGGGATTCGAACCGGCGACCTTCTGATCGGCAAGTCCTAGGCTCTGTGGTTTAACCCACAGCGCCACCCGCATCCCTTTCCTACTAAATCATACCAAAGGTTAAATCTAGTCCAGCATCCTGTTCTCAAAAGGGCCAGCCAAATGCTAGTGGGAAGGAGCTGCCAGCCAGCCCTGAGCACAACAGCACTCTCTGGAGTTTCAGCAACTGGTATTAAGAAGTGTACTGCCTTCGACAGTGGAGGTAGAATAATAGCCATCATGGTCAGTAGCCACGGATAGCCTTATCCTCCATGAATTTGTCTAATATTTCGAAGCCATCGCTGCCTCTTGTGGGGATGAATTCCATAGTTTAACGATGCATTGTGTGAATAAGTGCTTTCTTTTGTCTGAATCCTACAACGTTCAGCTTCATTGGATGTCCATGAATTCTAATGTTATGAGAGAGAGAGAGAGAGAGAGAGAGAGAGAGAGGAAAGAAACGCCTTTTCTCTATCCCAGACACCCCCAAACTCAGCCCTCCAGATGTTTTGGGACTACAACTCCCATCATCCCTAGCTAACAGGACCAGTGGTCAGGGAGGATGGGAATTGTAGGCCTGAAATGTCTGGAGGGCCGAGTTTGGGGATGCCTGCTCTATCCACTTTCTCCATGCTATCATAACCTGCCATAACCTGCTATCATACTCTTACTCACCTTTTATCTGAACCAAAAAGCCCCAAGTTTTGTAACCTTTTCTCATAGTTTCTCCATTGCCTTGATCGTTTTGGTTGCCCTTTTCTGGGATGCTCCCAAGGAGGACATAACTCTCCTTCAGAGGCATACAGTGGTACCTCGGGTTAAGTACTTAATTCGTTCCAGAGGTCCGTTCTTAACCTGAAACTGTTCTTAACCTGAAGCACCACTTTAGATAATGGGGCCTCCCGCTGCTGCCGCGCTGCCGGAGTACGATTTCTGTTCTCATCCTGAAGCAAAGTTCTTAACCCGAGGTACTATTTCTAGGTTAGCGGAGTCTGTAACCTGAAGCGTATGTAACCTGAAGCGTTTGTAACCTGAGGTACCACTGTACTCGTTTTGATACTGGAGGTAATATATAGCCTATAGATACAGGGATTAGTTAGATATGGGGATAAGTGGCAAAATCACCTAGCTCAGTTGGTAGAGTGTGACACTCCTAATCTCAGAGCCATGAGTTCAAGCCTCAGTTTGGGCAAATGATTCCTGCTAGATTGGGCTAGATTATCCTTGTGGTATCTTCATAGTTAATCAAAGTTGAATGGAAAGGTATTGGGTGCATCAACCCTTAGTAAGCAAGAGTCAATAAGAGTCAATAATTAATTGTCTAATAGTGCTGCAGACTGAGAGATAATATATACTATAATGATTGCCTGTTGGACACCAACAGAAATTTAATTAAAAAATGCTTTGCATTTTCTTTCCCTCAGATCTGCATTCTCCATGACTGTAACATTCCTATAGAATTAGAAATCAATCTAGCCTTTTTTTTTTAGTTGTATTTATGAAAGTTCATAATACAGGGAATCTCAGACTTTTTTTGCATTTGCATGCAGATATATGCAAAACAATACTAGCTGATTTAATCTGAATAAGCTAGTTTTTTATTTTTTAAAAAAGTTAATTTATTAGCTACTTATTAGACATTGAAGCACCACCAGATGCATTGGGTTATTTTAAACATTTATTATAATGTTTTTCCTATGATGTGGACCCATTAAAATAGCTGTAGCGGTTTCTCTGTGGATTAGTAAAAAATATTTTGGAAATTCTTGCATTCAGTGTAGCCATCTATTTTAAGTAAAGAAAAGAAGGTTGTTAAGCTACCAGTGAGAAGTGTGAATATTGTGATTGGCCACTGTGCCTAAACCTGTGGACAGGTATAATGCAGAGTGTAAATGAATTGCTACTGTATAACCTTAAAACTGCAGATGTGGAAGCTAAAATAATATTTAACTATTCATGGTATAATGAATTCTTGCTTGGCGGCTGGCATTCAAAGTCTATTTGAAAGGTACTGTTGGCCTGAGATGCAAGTGATTTGGCAGAGGTCTTGCCTAATATATATTCTCAGAGCCTGTCTGCGCAAGGATGCTGGCAGTTTTAGTGTGATTTCTATTCCAGGAGACAAGTTTCTGTCCAAGGCAACATATGAGTGACCAAATACTTTCCAGTGGAATCTGGGCACTGTAAAATTTCCGGAACTAAGCCGAAAGATTGCAGAGCTTGCTAAACTCTCCCCCCCACCCCCTTGCATACCAGTGTGATGGTGAAATATTTCCAGCTGGAGTACACTGTGGTGAAAGGCTGTAAATTGAACAGACTATTTATCTTGTTATATTTTACTGGTGTTTTAAATAGCAGTATAGTATTGCTAATCAACTGTAGTTTTATTATTATTATTATTATTATTATTATTATTATTATTACAACACTATGACAAAAGGCATCTACAATACCATAAAACACATCTTACCTCTCAGTCTTTTGTAGAAAATCATCACCAGCAATGTATGTAAAGGCAAAGGCATCAAATCACTTCCCATCAAACCAGCAATCCTCAGACCAAACCAGATGTAAATGGAAAATTTTCCTTAAGAAATCAATTAAGAATGGGATGGTTTTTGCTAGTTTACTTATCTTCCCTCAAGCATTTTCAAATCTGTTTTACAAATGTAGAGTCTACCCTTTTTGACAGGCTGTTTAAATGTAAAAGCAACTATATTTCCATCTCCATTTTTTTATATAAAAAAACAGACTTTTCATTATGATGCATGACACTATGGGCTAAATTAGAGCCAGCGGTTACTGTTGGGCTGTTCTTGCTCTTCGTGAGTTTTGAGTAAATTAGGGTTCTATAAATTATAGCTGTTTTGTACCATTGTTTAACACAGCACACATGGAAAACACAGCACGGTTGAGTTGTAATTCAGCTTTAATGATGCAACACTTGGTTCCAGTCAATTGTTAGAAGGCTGTGGTAGTGTTACTTTAGTGCTTCAGACGTTGCATGTTCCATAACAATTACAGCCCAGCTTTCAGTAATGGCTGCTGGCGGATTATCCACATGTGAAGTCATAGCAATTTTGAAAAAGAAGTAATAAAAATGCACCTGCCTTGTAGTGGAAAATGAGACTTTAATATCTTTGCTTTGAAGTTGGGTGAAGTCTGTGGTATTAACTAACAGATACTGGTATTATGATGCAGTAATCCAGCCCCTCAGGGGAGTGCAGGGATCTGTAATACAAAAAAGCTGCTATTTTCTAGTCACCATGACAATCTGAGCGAAGAATGGAAATAATGAGGTGATGATAAAAACTAGAAGGGTGTTAGCTATAAAGTTGGGAATATGTGGAAAAATCACTTACATTTTGTACATTTTAGTTTAGGTGGCCAGTCCAGGGAATCAGAGAATTTGTTTTTGTCAGTAATGTGCATTGGGCCTGTTTGCTTATCTGAAACTTGAAAACATATGATGTAGCAGCAGTGGCGTAGCGTGGGGGGTGCAGGGGGGCCCGGCCACACCAGGCGCAACATCTGGGGGGGGGCACGCTCGCACTCGCAGCTCTCTGCCCCTACCTAAAATCCACGGGTTAGGGGGTGCTGACAACCCACGCTACGCCACTGTGTAGCAGTCTTGCTGAAGGTAAGCAGCTCTTTGCCTGGTAGGTGCCCGGACGGCAGACTGACTTGGAACCCCATGTATACTTCACTGAGCTCAGGAGGGAGGGCAAGCAGAATACTGATATAATAAATAAGCATAGTTGCAAATACATAAATTGGGAACCTCTTTAAGGCAAGCTTCTTTTTATACAATGAATAGTATTGCAATAGGCTGCTTTACACAAATAAAGGCTATTTTGTTTGTTAATGAGTACCAAATTCTTGGGCCTTAATCTATAGTATCTTCATGCAGAGTAGTTCTTCACAGGCCTAGGGGCACTGAGCCCATGGCCAGTGGGGGCCAAGACATGACAAGAGGCAATAATCGCAGGGCAAACATATTGGGATCATTGATTACAGATGTCAGTAGATTTTGGCATAGGCATTGGGTGTATATCCTGATTCCTGAATCATCCAGCATGTCTGATTGTTTGGCAGGTCAGTCCTGGGTTAAGGATTGCCCTATAATGTACATCATATTGGGGTGACCCCTCCAAGACTACAATTTTTTGAGCGTACTGTGGCCCATCAGCCCCCACCTGGGGACAGAAGCACCTTGCCCTGGACCTGAATCTGCCAACGAGTTGCGACAATTGCTGTGAGGTAGTCAAAAACCCCAGACAGGACCAATTTGTCTGGAGGCAAATTTTTGCCTGGCCCTGAGTACTGCACACTAATCTTTCCATAGCAAGGTCTTAAGCATGACCTGCCCGCTCACCTTTGGGCAGACATGTGGGAGGGTGAGAAACCCAATGCCAAGTGAGCTGCCGAGTAGGGCCAGAGGGAAGCCAGGGAAATGAAGTATTTCCTCTGGTCTGCTCCCTAAGCCACGCCCCCAGTCACCCATGATTGTCTGCAACTGCGATCAAGCCCCAGCAGCCCGTGGAGGAGGAAGAGACATTCTCCCCCTTCCACAGAGGGACCAGAAAACCACTGTGACTTGGCCACGCCAGACCACAATTGCCACCCCCTGCAAGGCAGATGGTAAGTGGTCCTTATAATTCAGTAGTAATTCTCTGTAGAGAGCCAGTGTGGTGTAGTGGTTAAGAGCGGTAGTCTCATAATCTGGGGAACCGGGTTTGAGTCTCCGCTCCTCCACATGCAGCTGCTGGGTGACCTTGGGCCAGTCACACTTCTTTGAAGTCTCTCAGCCCCACTCACCTCACAGAGTGTTTGTTGTGGGGAGGAAGGGAAAGGAGAATGTTAGCCGCTTTGAGACTCCTTAAAGGGAGTGAAAGGCGGGATATCAAATCCAAACTCTTCTTCTTCTTCTTCTTCTTCTTCTTCTTCTTCTTCTTCTTCTTCTTGTAAATGTAAGATGCAGCTTCTAATGTAGAACGGCTTGCTTCATTCTTTTGAATTCTGCATACTATGGATGGCGGCAAACAGATTGAGATTGAATCCTGACAAGACAGAAGTACTGTTTCTGGGGGACAGGAGGCGGGCAGGTGTGGAGGATTCCCTGGTCCTGAATGGGGTAACTGTGCCCCTGAAGGACCAGGTGCGCAGCCTGGGAGTCATTTTGGACTCACAGCTGTCCATGGAGGCACAGGTTAAATCCGTGTCCAGGGCAGCTGTGTACCAGCTCCATCTGGTACGCAGGCTGAGACCCTATCTGCCTGCGGACTGCCTCGCCAGAGTGGTGCATGCTCTGGTTATCTCCCGCTTGGACTACTGCAATGCGCTCTACATGGGGCTACCTTTGAAGGTGACCCGGGAACTACAACTAATCCAGAATGCAGCAGCCAGACTGGTGACTGGGAGTGGCCGCCAAGACCATATAACACCGGTCTTGAAAGACCTACATTGGCTCCCAGTACGTTTCCGAGCACAATTCAAAGTGTTGGTGCTGACCTTTAAAGCCCTAAACAGCCTCGGTCCAGTATACCTGAAGGAGCGTCTCCACCCCCATCGTTCTACCCGGACACTGAGGTCCAGCACCGAGGGCCTTCTGGCGGTTCCCTCACTGTGAGAGGCCAAGTTACAGGGAACCAGGCAGAGGGCCTTCTCGGTAGTGGCGCCCGCCCTGTGGAACACCCTCCCACCAGATGTCAAAGAGAACAACAACTACCAGACTTTTAGAAGACATCTGAAGGCAGTCCTGTTTAGGGAAGCTTTTAATGTTTGATGTATCACAGTATTTTAATATTCTTTTGGAAGCTGCCCAGAGTGGCTGGGGAAACCCAGCCAGATGGGCGGGGTATAAATAATAATAAATAATAATAATAATAATAATAATAATAATTATTATTATTACCGGCCAGTGAATTCTTCCTTAGCAAGAGACTTCACTGATCTCCTTTTCTCCCAGTTTTAAGCATTCTGTCCCATCTTTGCTTTACTTTGAATTTCATATTGACATTTCCTAAGTGATATTATTATTAGTGAAGTCATACCTAGAGCTGAACTTAAAAGATCACAATATAATACACCACTATTTTTTCTTGTGAAGTCTGGCACAGTAACAATTCCTTCTTCCTAGTTTGTCTAGTTAGGATTTATATATATACCACCTTTTCCTCCAAGTAGGTATTCACA